GCATAATGTTTTTGAGGTTGATCAATGTGGTAACACGTATCTATTGTTCATTCCTTTTTATAGATAAATATAATTTCATTCTATGGATACACAAGTTGTTTTCTCTTCCTTTGTTTTATTTTCTCTATAGTACTTATCACCACTTGAAATTATGTTTATTCTTTTATTTGTTGTCTCCCAGAATGTAAGCTCCATGAGGGCAGGGACTTTGCTTTATATGCTTTTTTTTTTTTTTGGAGACAGAGTCTCAGCTCACAGCGACCTCCAACTCTTGGGCTTAAGTAACTCTCTTGCCTCAACCTCCCAAGTAGCTGGGACTACAGGCCCCACCACAGCGCCCAGCTATTTTTTAATTTTAATTTTAATTTGCATATGCAACAGAAGGTGGAGCTGTCTGGTGAGGTTAACTGGCTATGAATAACTGAAGTACTCTGTTGAGGGAGGCTGCAGCTAGTGCTCCTGTGGGGCAATTGGTTAGCGCATGGCATTGATATCATAACATTGTTGCCAAAGTTGTGAGTTCAAGTCTCACCTGGAGCACTTTCTTCTTTTTTTTTTTTTTAAGAGTGTCTCACTATGTCACCCTAGGTAGAGTGCTGTGTTGTCACAGCTCACAGCAACCTCCAACTCTTGGGCTTAAGCAACTCTCTTGCCTCAGCCTCCCAAGTAGCTGGGACTACAGGCCCCTGCCACAGCACCCAGCTATTTTTTTTTTAATTTTAATTTTCATTTGCATATTCAACAGAAGGGGGAGCTGTTTGGTGAGGTCATGCGGCTATGAACAACTGAAGTACTCTGCTGAGGGAGGCTACAGCTAGTGCTCCTGTGGCGGAATTGGTTAGCGCATGGCATTGATATCATAACATTGTTGCCAAGGTTGTGAGTTCAAGTCTCACCTGGAGCACTTTCTTCTTTGTTTTTTGAGAGAGTCTCACTGTGTCACCCTGGGTAGAGTGCTATGGTGTCACAGCTCATAGCAACCTCCAACTCTTGGGCTTGAGCAACTCTCTTGCCTCGGCCTACCAAGGAGTTGGGACTACAGGCCCCCACCACAATACCCAGCTATTTATTCTATTTTAATTTTTTTGCATATGCAACAGAAGGTGGAGTTGTCTGGTGAGGTCACGTGGCTGTGAACAACTGAAGTACTCTGCTGAGGAAGGGTACAGCTGCTGTTCCTGTGGCGGCAATTGGTTAGCGCATGGTATTGGTATCATAACATATTGTTGCCAGCGTTGTGAGTTCAAGTCTCACCTGGAGCACTTTCTTCTTCTTCTTTTTTTTTTTTTTTGAGACAGAGTCTCACTATGTCACCCTGGGTAGAATGTGTGTTGTCACAGCTCACAGCAACCTCCAACTCTTGGGCTTAAGTGATTCTCTTGCCTCAGCATCCCAAGGAGCTGGGACTACAGGCACCCACCACAACACCTGGCTATATATTTTTTGTTGTTGTTATTGCAGTTATCATTGTTATTTAGCTGGCCCAGGCTGGGTTCGAACCCGCTACCCTTGGTGTATGTAGCTGTTGCCATAACCACAGTGCTGCCAGCACTGATCCTGCTTTATATGCTTTTAAAAAAGATTTTTTCTATCATGGTGCTTGGTATGTATTAGGCACCAAATAAATATTTAATGAATAACTTTTATGTTGCTTTAGAGATCTTTAGTTGAAATTATAGCAATAATAACATAGCTTTGATATGATATTGATATTTTTGATCATTTATCCTGAAAAAGCAACATTGAGTTGGCCAGATACACATCTCATTTGGAAATTGTAACTGGAATTTTGAAAATTGTTTCTTGGTTGTCGTTTAGTTCATAAATCATAATCATAAAAAAATGAGTTAAAAGAGTGAAGATTGATCTTTTAACATACAAATTAAATATTGGTGTTCAATGATACGTATTTGGTGCTATAAATTAGTTTATGCAGAATTTATGAGTCAAATCTAGGCAATTAATTCTGATGGTTATTCAAAAAGAATCTGTCATAAGAACAATTGTGAGGAAGCAAGGATTAGTTAAGATAAATGCTATTTTTGAATAATAAGATTTTACTACATTTTAAAAGATATGCATTGTTTTGCCCTATTTGTCGTGTGTGTATGTGCGTATGTGACATTTTGCTTACTGAAACATGAAAACCTTGTTTGTTTCAGGATCAGATTTGCAAGTATGTCTCCCTAAGGGCCCAACATGCTGCTCAAGAAAGATGGAAGAAAAATACCAACTAACAGCACGATTGAACATGGAACAACTGCTCCAGTCTGCAAGTATGGAACTCAAGTTCTTAATTATCCAGAATGCTGCGGTTTTCCAAGGTGAGTTCTGGGGACCATTTTAGGTGTACTGCTCAATGACATCATTATTTGAGAACTGGGCTTTCAAATGCCAAATATAATTGATAAATTACCATTCCAGAATTAATGCTTGATATAAAAAAGCCTCCCAGTGAGAGATTCTGGTTAAAGAAAAACAGTGTTGAGAGAAGCTTCATTTCAGGTTTTGGCAAGGTGGGCAAAACATCATTGTCCAAGGATGTTCTGTTTATTTGTATGTAAAGGTTATAAATCTCTGTAGAAAGAGTAAATAATGCTTTTTCTCAGCTAGTCCATTAAGGCTTGTTTAAAAAACAAGAGAGGTTTCCTTAAATACTGAGTCCAGTTTTCTCCAGGAGTGAGTTAGATATATCTGGAATGTACATGGACTCCTTCTGACCACTAGGACCATTTCAACGTAGAAGAGAGAAAGTGGCTTGTTGGCCTGATATTTTCGCATTTGTGTGAGTGGTTACCTTTCTTCTCTTTGTGAATTTCAGTTCTTATCACACCTATGTATGACTGTGAAAGAAGCTGTTGTGGCATTGTCAGAGTGGGTTAAGACCTTACATTTTGCTTTGCTAACTTGTAGGACTATCAGAGCAGGATGAGGAGTACCTTTCTCAATTCAAAGACCCAGCTAGAGAGACGATGATGATGGTGGTAATGATAGCAAGCACCTATATAGCTCTATGTGCTAGGCTCTCTTTTTCAGTGCTTTACATATATTAATTCATTTAATTATCACAGTATACCTATCAGTAGGTATTAGGTATTGGTACTCCCATTTTATGGATGAAAACCTAAGGGACAGAGTAGTGAAATAACTTGCCCAAGGCCACCCAACAAATAAATAAATGGTGAGAGCAGGATTTGAACCCAGGAAGCCTGTCTCTTAGAGTCTACACTTTTCACTACCTTGGTGGGCTGCCCCTTGTCACTGGGAAAATTGATTACGGATATCGAGGCTTTCTTCTATGCCTCTTCAAGTAGACAGAATTAGCAGCCTTTTTCTTGCCCCACAAAGGAAGGATTGGGGGTCAGATAGAAAAATCACACTTCTGACTACTTGACATTGGAAAGCTTTAGATTTATGGCACCTGTACAAGAATTAACCTCTTTGAGTTATAAGGTAGGTTGATTATAGCTTATTTTGTGTGTTATAATGAAATTCTTAGAATTAGCTAAGAAAATTATTCAAATTAGCTAATAAGGCATACATTCACAACAGTTTCTTGTGTCAAAGCCCCAGGGGATGTAGGTTGATTATATGAAATGTAATATATAAGCTTGAAGTATTTGTTAACCTATTTATGCAGTCAGGCTCTTGTGAAGAGTTTGTTGAGACTAACAATTTGGTGATAGGATGAATAATTTAGGCTGATTTTAAAAATACATGTGCCATTCATGTACTTTTTAGATTGGTTTTGGAGTTAACTGCTGGATAAAAGTGGGGTGACAAGAAGTGATGTGACATGAGAATTGAGTTGAAGCAGAGAGTCATATCAACTCTTCAGGGCATCCAATTGCCTCTTTAGAATGGAATATTAGTGATTCGTTTCATTCCCAGAAAGCCAAACTCTCAGTCATTACCTTCACAACCATTGCCTGGCTGGAGAAGGGTGGTAGAGTGATCACACTGCTTTGCTCACGTGTAAAGTAGCAGACATTGCTGTCCAACCGAGGGCCTGGCGTGTCAACATTCATGTCTCTGCCCAGTCCTATACTTTGCATACTGTTTCCTGGGTCCAGAACAACATGATGCTAGGAGAGAAAAGAGATTCTGCCAAGATTTTGATCGGATTAGCTTCCAGATATGGCTGCTGTAGCAAGGAGGCCAAGCGCTAGTCTTGTGAACAGAGGGAAGAAAGTGGAGGCAGCACCTACTAGTTGTCTGTCTGTCTGTCTGTCTGTCTCGCACACACACAGAGGAATATACTTTCTTTCCCACATTGCAGAGATAGGTAGAAAGACAGCCCTAGCAAAGGAATACAGCGAAAACTAACTGGTGTCTGAACTTGTTATTGCTACTGCTTCTGACTCATCACCACATCCATTCATTCTTTTATTTTGGTTCACTCCCTTTTCTCACTCTTTTTCTGCTTCACTTTTAGAAAAAATAAATCCCATAAGAAAAAATAAACTATGGTCCCAGACCTCAAGGCACTTATACTGTAGGTGGGGACACATTGCTCCCAAATCCTTTCAGTAACAAACATTTGGCCAGAAGCCACTACAAGATGACTTATTATTAGTTGCTGAGAAAAAGAGAGCATCTACTCCAGTTTTTCTTACCATTATGTATTATTCCAATGACTTGAAATTGGTGGACATAATTGTGTTTTTCCCTAAAATACATCCCATCTCCAAGATTCTGGTAGACCAAATTATTAAGAAAATTGCTTTAATACTTCACTCATGTGAAATTTGATGTGGCAGCTTTTATGAGCTATTTTCTCCACCACATGAAGTTGAAGAAAGCTCATCTTGATCTTGGCCTAGATCCACAGTCTCTTTAGGATTCCTTCACTAGTCCACATTGGGGGTATTTAAGCAACGAGTGCGTTCTGCAAATATTTGCCCAGTTCTACGAGCAATCCTTACTGCCTTGATTTGGATTTTATGTCTTAGTTTGCAGGAAGCCTTTGCCCTCATAAATGAGCCTGGGGCCCTTTGCTACAGTGGTTGGAGTGCTCTATTGCTAATGTTGTTTTGATAATGATTGAAGCATTAAAAAAAGTTGTTCTTTATTTTCAATCTTTGCAGTGCCTCGTTTCCCAAATTTAATTTACTTAGATGTGCTTAGTAAAATGGGGCAGCACATTTTGTTTCTGCTTAATTAATTCTTTTTGAAAAACTCCACTAAAAGTAGATTTTACGTTCTCTTTCTCTTTTTCTTCCCCCTTACCTTATAATAATTATGATGATAGTAATGATAATGGAGATTTATTTAGTGCCTACTATACAGTGCTTACTTTTACATAATTATCTCATTTAATTTTCCTAGCAGCCCTATGAGGTCTGTACGGTAATTATCTCCATTTTACAGATGAGGAAACTCTTTGATGCCACAGCTTCTCTAGAACCATCCTTTGACGTGGCTTTCCCTGTTCTTGGTGTCCTTTATATCAAATGAAATCAGGAAGTTGTAGGATTTGTGGTCCTTGTGAAGAAAAGTGGGATAGAATTTTGAAATGTTCATCCTATCTCCACTACCTCTATAGCACCTTCAAGTCTTACGTTCTCTCTTCTTTGTAGAATTTCCTTGTGACTTTCAACCTTTTAATATTAGGAAATATTTGGGGTAGGTTCTGGTCTTTTCTGAATGTTGGATGATTCTAGTCCTCCTTAAGGTACCCCTGGCGCTGGGTGATAATAGACTCTTTGGTGCAGCAACACTTCGCTTTTTCTGGAGGTTGCTTGTCCTACAACTTGAACAGAAAGGAAAGAAAAAATGGTGGTTCAGCAGAAAACATCTCTGCACACCCAAACCTCCACAGAGCCCTTGCTTGTATAGTTGGGTGTCGACTTTTCTGAGAGATCTTTGGGTCCTTGTTTAGAGCCTACTGATGTTCTAAATTTA